CCCCCGTTTCATCACAAACGTAGAATTGGCTTCAATCCCACTCGCTTCGCCTATGGTAGTATCAAATCCTTACCTATCGAAGGCGTACAGATTGCACAATTCGCATCGCGAGCAGCAACTCTGCTCGAAGAGAACCTGGAAAAGGTTCGTGAGATGCTGAAGGAAGAGGCATCAGATTTGTGCAAACCCGCTGAAGATACCCCCCTTCCTCCCCTTCGAGCGATAAACCACCGAATTCCACTCAAGGACGAGTCCATAACATTACCTTATATCCCTTCTCGCTGTCCACAAGCTTTCAGAGAACAGTGGGAAAAGAAAAGAGACGCTTACCTGAAAACTGGCCGCTGGAAGTACGAGACAGGACCAAGTGCCGTCCCAATTCTCTTCATAGCCAAGAAACCTGGTCCTAATGGCGAGAAACGACTTCGAACCGTCTTTGCAAAGCAACGTCTCAACGATAATACGATCAAGTTGTCTTCTCCCCTCCCGGATATTCAGAACATCCTAGAGACTGTCGCTCAATTCAAGTACAAGTCCCTAATTGACGGACGTGACGCTTACGAACAGATCCGTGTCGATCCAAAAGACGTCCAGAAGACTCTGTTCAACACGCCAGATGGAACTATGGTCAGCTACGTCATGCAACAAGGAGACACCAACGCTGGAGCGACTTACCAAACGCTAATGAACCATATCTTCGCGTCGTTCATCGGTATCTTCATGTTCGTTTACCTGGACGACATTATTATCTTCTCAAATACCGTCGAAGACCATGTCAAGCACATTCGGTTAGTTCTAGACGTCCTGAGAAAGGAGAAACTTTACCTTTCTTCGAGTGACAAGCTGCAATTCTTTGCACGTCCTCTCGTCATTCTCGGACATGTCATCGACGACAAAGGGATCAAGATGGACCCGCATAAAGTCGATCGCATCTCGAACTGGAAGACCCCAACAAACGCCACTCTGGTAGCCGGTTTCACTGGCATGAATAGAATTGGGACAGCGCTTGGTCCCGTCTCGTACTTCCAGCGGCCAGTTTTCAGGTAAGCGTCTCGTTTCTTTTCCCATTGTTCTCTGAAAGCTTGTGGGCAGCGAGAAGGGATATAGGGGAGCGTTATCGACTCGTCTTTGAGGGGAATATGGTGGTTAATTGCTCGAAGAGGTGGGAGAGGGGTATCTTCAGCGGGTTTGCATAAATCTGACGCTTCTTCCTTCAGCATCTCACGAACCTTATCCAGGTTCTCTTCAAGCAGGGTTGCTGCTCGTGATGCGAAGTGCGCGACCTGAACGCCTTCGATAGGTAAGGATTTGATACTACCATAGGCGAAGCGAGTGGGATTGAAGCCAATAATTCCTTTATGTTGAAATAGGAAAGGGGTGCCGAGTATCGCGTCGTATCCGTCGATGTTCATTACGTCAAAGCGGCGCGTTTCTTCAATTTCTTCGTACCGGATTTTAGTGGTGGCCGACGAGTGGATCTTGCCTCGAGAGCCAGTGACGGCTAATTGGACAGTAAGTGGTTGTGCTAACTGATCGGTTTCTATCTTTAGCTGATCAACAAGTGTAGTAGAGAGGAAATCCGACATAGAGCCTGTGTCTATTAGGACACGAACGGGCTCGTCCTTGATAAATGCGTCAATCACGCAAGTTTTGGGCACTAGGCGCTCAAAATCCTTCGGTCTGGCCGCGTTTCGTTCAAGCAAGACTCTATCAGGCTTCCTGCCCTCCACTCTCGACTTACGCGTCGAGGGTTTGTTCGCTATTACGAAGGCATCGACCCTATAGCCCTCCTTCTCCTCAATTTCATCATCGTCCGAGTCAAAATAGACAATTTTACATTGTCTGAACTCGTCTTCATCAGACGAGTTCGACTCGTTCGAATGGTCACCGGCTTCGGTCTCACTTGAGGAAGAGTCTGACAGGTACGTCTTCTCTTCCTCGTCTACGACTTGCGGCAACTGACCATGACTAGGCGAGGGGAATTTGGGTTTAGGAAGATCAATAGGAGAGGAAACGATGGAAGAAGTAGAAGGGAGGAGTTCTGGATTGGTGGAATCGTCGAGGTGAGTAGATTTCCCAGCAAAGCTAGACCAGTATTGTTTATTCTCTTCAATGACATCTTCTGCTCGGTAGACTAAGTTAAACTCGGGATCGGAGAGCTCTTCAGAGGTAAAGAAGAACTCGATATCGAGCGCATAATCGAATACATGGAAGATGTCGTATCGCTCTTCGACATGAGTTACCGAGAATCGATCTGCAAAGCGGTCCAGGTGAGTAGGCCAGACTGAGTTGCTGTTGAGATTCTCTTCTAACAACAATTTGGCCCATGAACAGATAACTTCAGCGCGAGTGACTATAAAGTCAAGGTCGTCACGTTCGAGGCCGGGGATAGTAATCGAGCAGGAACCCAGGTCAGTGACGTCCTTCATTCGCGCTTCAATAGTCGAGAAGCTGACGGCATTTGAGGATAGCGTTGGTGGTTTGGAAGTCGTCCTTGAAGGGCAATCCTTGTAGAGATGTCCAATTTCCTTGCACCTGAAGCATTTCCCAGTAGCGCGTAGCTCGTCCTTTTCCTTTTGAGACATTGGCTTGCGATTTGAAGATCCAGACGGTCGGGATTTATTGGAATCCTTGGACTCGGACTTCGGTTTGTCTTTCCTATCGTCCTTGTCCCTCTTCTTATCGCGATTTTCTGATCGTTTCTTGCCATTGTGCTTCTTCTTCTTGTCAGAATGCTCCGCCATAGAGGAGCGAAGCTCGGTTCGGTTGTTTGAGTTACGCTCGGCGCGAATTTGGAGTTCTTCCTGTTCGATACGGAGAGCGGCATCGTAGAGATCGTTAAACGAATCAAATTCGGCATTATAACCTTCCCTGGCCCATTTGATGCGGAAATACCCCTTGGACCCTTTCCAGAATCGGCGAGCCTTGGCTGCGTCGTCAATATCAGGAACTCTAGCAGCTAAGTCTATTATCTTCTGACGCCATTCGCGAACTGATAATTGTCCTTGTTCAGCTTGTTCGAAGCGTTCCCGAAGAGTTTGACGAATGTTGGTCGGGAATAGTTCATCGAAGAACATGTTGATGACCGATTCGACAGTCCAACGATTGACCGAAGGGGCTACAATAGACATGAAGGTCCGTAGCGCCTTGCCTTCTAGGAAGTTCGATAAAGTTGAAACCATCGTCTTCTGGGAAACGCGCAGGCGGTTATAGTACTGCATTACATGGTAGTACCATTCCTCAAGCTTTTCGATGTCGGGAGATCCGTCCCACCTTGTCGGCGGGTCTAGCTTCATTGCTGAAGCGCTTTTGATCTCCCTTTGTTTACGACGGTAAGCCTTGCGTTTATGCTTCTTCCTTTTGCGAGTAGGTGCTGAGTCATCCGAATCGGGACTGGAAGTGTCGGAATCGGAGTCTGAAGAAGATGAGGATGAAGAGGACGATGAAGAAGACGACGAGGACGACGAATCCGAAGGGTCTGGGTCGACGTTTTGCCTTCGTCGATCAGGTTTGATCCCATCACGAGTCGGGAGGAGTTTATTGAAGAGGGTCGAGTTACCGGGCATTTGCCTAGAAGGGGGGATGGGGGTCTTGGACCGAGCATCCCTTCTAACCTTCGAAGCTGAAGCGTTGTTCTGGACTAAACGATTTAATTCGTCGTTAGGATTCTTCCCTTTCTTGCGCTTGGGTGTGCGGGGTACGGGATCGGCACGGTTGGAGGAAGTTGGGTTTATTCGGTCAGCCAAAGGCGAAACTGGGCTATGGGGATCATCTCCAGGTTCATCAGCTTCGTTATTAGAAGCGTTTTCGATTGCATTAACATTATTTGACAATTCAGTCGCCGCTCGTAGGTCTTCCTCTTCTTGTGCACGAAGCGCGGCCTGTCGGTCAGACTCTCGTAGCGCAGCTTCCATCCCTTCCTCAGAGTTTGGGTCAGGCGCGATAAAAATTCCTTGATGTCCAGGTGGACGAGGAATGGATACGGCTTTGAATTTACCCTTCTGAGCCGTTGTGAAGCGAACACGCTGAGGGGAGGCTGGTCGAGGGATCGAACCGGCTTGTCTAGACGAGCCGGCAACGGGAATAACGGTGGTTGGGCTATCTGGTTCGGATGAGGAATCGTGAATAGAGATAGGTCTGGGTATCTCTATAGGGTCAGTGAGTCTCATAGGTCTTTCTCCAGGGTCAGATGTAGAAACTACAGTGCTACCACTAGTCTCTGTACTTTGATTCCTTATAACGTCTGCAATACGACTCATTAATGCCTCTCTAACATGAGAGTCGAGACCATTCATGACGGTCTCGAAGAACACTTCATCTGGATTCACGAGTCTGGGTTCAGCTCGTACCTCAGCATGAGCGGGACCTTGTGCAGGTTCCTCAGGTGCTTCATCAGCTCCTTCTTCATGAGAGATATTCGCGAACCATGTGGGAAAATTTCGGGGACCTGAGCTAATATTGGCACGT